TGAGACTTTGCACAGGCTGTTCCTTCTGCTTAGAATGCCCTTCCCTGTTTTGTTCACCAACTTGAATATCTTTCATGGCCTCCCTTGTCACGCTGCCACACCATTTTTTGCCTCCTTGACTGTCTCCCCACCAGCCTTGGAACCCCTGAAGGACCAGGACCAATCTTGCTTGTCTTTGTACCTCAACACTCAGCACTGGGCCAGGAACATACTACCTGCTCACTAAACATTTGAGAAATCCCACTACCAACTGCAGCTGCTCCCGCGTGGTCCAGCCCGGAGCTGAGCATACCGTTCCCAGTGTTCTCACACCATCTCATAAACAACAAAACCGAGGCTCAGGAGGTTAGGAAACTGCTCCACAGCTTAGAGGTGGAGCCAAGGGGCTGCTGCCCTCTTCACGGGGGCCATGCAGTCTCCTGTTTGAACACCCTTCCGACCCCTGCGTTCCTGCCCTCGGGGAGACAGGCAGTGAGCAGGGACGTGCGTGCGTGGTCAGAGTGGCAGCTTCCAAGAGTGAGAAGGGCTGTGAGAACAGGTGTGATTCACGGGTGCAGGGCCCTTTAGGTGGGGTGGTCTGGACAGGCGACGTCGAGGTTGAGCCCTGAATGACAGGAGGAGCTGGCTGTGGTGAAGACCGGAGGGGAGGCACTGCAGGGAGACGGAACAGCAGCTGCAAGGGCCCTGAGGTGGGAATAAGCTTGGTGGCTGGAGGGGACTGAGGGAGGAGTAGGGAGAGGAGATGTGGTGGGAGAGGTTGGGGATCTGGGCACACAGTGCGTCACCCCCAGTGAGGAGCAGGGTTTTACCCTGAGCATGATAAAACAGTAAGAGGGGTCCGGCGTGGAAGGTGTGGCAACTCCGAGCATCCCCAGAGGTTTTGCAGCTGAGGCTGCCTGACTGCAGGTTGGCTGGGGCGGTCAGCGCCATCCCACAGCGGCCCCACGAGGGCACTGTGACCCCTGAGATCCTCCAGGAATCGGGCCCCTGGGAAGGGGCTGTGCAGCTGCAGACTGTCAGTTTCTGTTGGAGGTGCCCCCTTACACAGAGCAGAGCCCGGTGGCCGGCCTGCCAGGCGGGAGACGCAGTGCAGACCCCAGCCCCGGGGCACGGCTTGCTGGGTGGCCTGGCGGAACTCCCCAGGATCATGACTACCACACCGGTGCCCTGTGAGGCAGAGGAAATGAGGAGACCCTCAGCACGCCGAGGCAGTGTGCACGAGTGTGTGTGCATGTGTGCACACGCAGGGGGCTCCGGGGTGGGCCGAGCGGCCCGAGGACCCTGCCGTGTGGTTGCAGAGCAGGGAGCCGACAGGTCAGAGGGTGGAGGGAATGAGGGCTGTGGCTCTGCACATGAGGTGCATGGACGTGGGCAGTGGTCCCTGGACTGATGACCAGGTATGCCTGAAGAAGCATCTGGGCACAGCTCCCGGGAGCCTGTACAAGGCAGTGGTACCCCTTCCAGAGAGCTCAGAGGTTGCCAAGGGGGCCATGGTCTGCAATGGGGGAGGGAGTTCTTAGGTGACAAAATGGGGTCAAGAGGGGTGGGGGTCAGGGCAGCTGGACTGGCCTGAGGGCTGAGGGAAGAAACTCTAGGCCCGGAGACTGCCTGCTGGGAGGCCTCAGCCCGGGGGTACCCCGCGTCATGCCCAGGATGGGATGAGAGCACGGGGCAGCTGACTGTGGCCCAGGGGGTGTGAGCACCCAGGCACGAGGGTCCGCCCAGGTTGGGGAGGCAGCTCTGCCGGTGGCTGGGCTCTCCACCTCGTCGGGGTGGTGGCCGTCAGCTGAGCGAGGTCAGCCTCAGCTGGACTGTCCAGCGCTCTAAGTGGTGTCACCGCCGGCGGGCCAGCCTGGGTTTGTGGTCCTGGCTGTGCAGAGGTGCCCGAGAGCGAGTGGGTCCCCCTGAGCAATGTCAGTGTCGCCAAGTTGTATTAGCCAATCACAGCCTTGTCGGAGGGCGGGAGACAGACTGCACCTCCCGGCGGAGGGGGTGCACCGGCTCATGCCAGAGGGGAGAGGTGGGCTGTCCCGGGGCAGCTAAGGGCGCACATGAGTGGTGTGGTGACCACGGAGGGTGCAGCCCCTGTGTGCAGGTTACCCGAGTGCGTGGTCCCTGTGGCCCTGCCTGGTTTGTAGCCATGTCAGCTGAGATTCCCCCGAGCCCCTCGGCCCCAAGCTGATGTCCTCGCTCACGAAGCTGCCGTCCCTGCGCCCCGCCCGGTGGAGCTCGCTCACCTGCTGCCCCCCTCCCAGCTTGCACTCAGCATTGGAGAAGCAACCACCGGGGTGACAAGGACCAGGTAGGGGTCAGGGTGGAAGGAGACCCTGGCTCCACCTTGCAGTTGAGTGGGATGCTCAGGGCCCTGCCCTGCCCGAGGAGCCTTACCGGGGCCAAGCGGCGCATGCCCAGCTCCCAAGGGACTGAACACCACCGGGAACACCAGTGGCTAACACTGAAGGCCATCGCGTGCCAGCACGTTGGCCCATTCCCAGACGCTGACACAAGCTCAGAGAGCTGCGGTGACCTGCCCAGTCACACAGCTGAGGAGGGCAGGGCGCACCTCTGTCCTCAGCCACCACGTGTGCCTCCCGTGGTCCCATCTCTGTTATATGCTTCTCCCTGGCTGCTCCTCTCCAAGCCTTGACTTCCCCCTCTGCAAAATGGGCTGAAGCTCTCCGAAGGCCTCCCACAGCGCTGGGATTTTGTGCTCAGGGCCAGTGGTCCCCGCACCCTTGACCTTGATGAAGGTTGTCTGCTGGCCCTCAGCCTCTCCTGGTGGCATGCCAGGGCCAGTGGCCTTGCCGAGAGCGGAGCGGCAGGCAGAGCCAGCAGGGGAGCAGGGGCGTCTGAGGTGCCCTTGGCGGGGACTTGGGGTTGGTGAGCTGCGTGGCTGGGCCCACAGGCGGGGCACCTTCAACCATGGGCAGGGGAGGAGGACCCTGTTCGTTCATCGACGACAGGATTTCTCTGGAATCGGCTTCCTGAAGCCTGGGACCCCAAGGGGGTGCTTCTTCCATCCATTCCTTTATCAACACCTTATTAAGCACCGGCTGTATGCCAGGCAGCGTCGGGCACAAACACGTTCCCTGTGTTGGTTGAGCTCACATTTTAATGGGGCAAACCATTTATCAGCATCTCTGATTCATCGTTTACACGGCCGTTTGTTTAGTCAGTAACCACAGGCGAGGGAGCAGGACGCTGCACGCCCAGTCCAGCTGGGTGGCCCTGGGCAGCTCAGGCCCCTCTCGGGCCTGTGCTCTCACCTGTGCGATGGCAGACAGTAGGCCCACGCGTGCCAGGCAGCACAGGCGAGCGCCCGGATGGATAGAAAATTAGGAGCTGCGATAGCACTGGGAAGAGGATTGGAGAGGGGACCACTCCAGATGGGGTGGCCAGTGAGGGCCTCCTGGGGGAGGTGGCTTGTCTGCTGAGGACCCACCTGTGACAGGAAGTGAGGCGGGGACAGGCTGGGATGCTGCAGGAAGAGCCATAAGCCATTAAGCCTGGAACAGAGGACGTGACGGGTGAGCACTAGGGACAGAAATGAGGTAAGGGGAGGGGGGCAGACTGCAGGGCCCCTGTCATAACAAAGCCACAGGCTGGTGCCCTAGCCGGTTTGGTTAAGCAGTTAGAGCGTTGGCCCACGGACCAAAGAGTCGCGGGTTCGATTCCGGTCAAGGGCACATACCTCTGTTGCGGTTTGCTCCCCGGCCCTGGTCGAGGTCGTGTGGGAGGCAACCAGTCGATGTGTCTCTCTCACATTGCTGTCTCTCTGTCTCTCTCTCTCTCTCCTCCTCCCTCCCTCCCTCCCTCCCACTCTATCTGAAGATAAATGAAAAAATATCCTTCGGTGAGGATTTAAAACCAAAAAACCCCACAGGCTGGGCAGCTTAAACAACAGACATTCATTTCTCTCGGTTCTGGAGGCTGGAAGTCTGTGACCAGGCTGCCAGCAAGGCTGGGCTCTGGCGTGGGCTTCTCCCTGGCCACAGCCTTCTTGCTGAGTCCTCACATGTCAGGGACAGCGAGGTCTCTGCGGTCTCTTCTCATAAGGGCCCCTTCACGCTCTCATCTAACCCGAATCACCTCTCAACGGCCCACCTCCTAATACCGTCACACTGGGGTTGAGGTTTTAGCTTATGAACTTGGGGGAACACAGTTTAGTCCATAGCAGCGCCAGAGACCCTGCGAGGGGCTCAGACTTCATTCTGTCTCTGGAAATGACAAGTCCGGATGTTGAGAACGAGGTGTTTTCTACCTCCCTGGTCTGGACGTGGCTGAGCTCCTGCAGACCTGGGCGAGAAGGGAGGCGGTCTCTCCACTCCCCGCTTCCTCCCCCCCAGCTTCCCTCCCCTCCTCACCCTGGGGACCTGCAGGGGACCCACAGCGTGGCCCCACCTGCTGCAGAAAGCCCCGGCGCTGGGGCCATATGGTCCTGGATGCTAGCTGTGCTGTGGGACCCCTAGCAACTCATTTCTCAGCTGTGAGACTTGGTTTTCTTTCCTGCAAATGGGTACACGGCTCCTTCCCTGGCTGGCACGTGGCGAGAGCTCTGGGAGGTGAGGAGAGCAGGGTGCCCAGCGGGAGGCAGGCACTCAGGGAGCAGATGGCAGGGAGCCAGTGACACCAGAGGGCTTCTGGGGGTGGGGGAGGTCAGGAGCACAGGTTCCCAGAGGGGTCAAGGGTCAGGGTACTGATGTGCGGAGCCTGGGGCCGGGACTGGGCCATGGAGAAATGGGACAGCCAGCCCTGAAGGCCCCTGGCTCCTGGGCTCCCCACCCTGAGTTCCTGTGGGCCTCAGGCCCAGCCCCCTCCTGCTTCCAACAGAAGTCCTGCTCACAGTATCTAAGTGGCTGCTATGCTGGCCAGGGCTCTGCGGTGAGATTTCTGGCGCCTGCTCTCCTCCCGTGGGGGCCCCTCAACTGAGCTGGCTGTGGGCATTCTCGCCTCACGGGATGAGCCCCGCCCCATGATGGCGTCTTGTTCCAGAGGCATCGACAGTCCCAGCCAGAAAGACTCGCGCAGAGGCCACCTGGAGCCCATCCGCGCCTCCTGCTCCGCGCAGACCTTCCGGGGAAGAGTGGAGACGGATTGGGGCCGCTGGCTGGCCAGTCCCTGCAGCTGGGGCTTTGCAATCTGCCCACGTGAGTCTGTCCTGGGAAAGGGGCCAGGGTGAGCCCTGGGGGGGTGAGGGGAGAGGAGGGCACCGCCGAGGCAGGGGTGGGAGCTGGATGCCCACGTCAGGGTTCTGCCATTTGCCAGCTGGGTGACCGTGGGCAGGGCACGCCTCTCTCTGCACGTCCAGTGTTTCATCTGAAGCGTGAGAGAAGCCACAGGCTCCAGCTTGTCGGGTGACTGTGGACTTCAGAGGTGTGACACCGGAAGAATGCTTCACACACAAACCAAAGCTGCTGTCATCACCTTAGAGGGGAGGTGCTGGGACCCCTCTCCGCCAACATGCCTCTTGGGTTTGTTAGCTGGTTGAGTGCCCCTTCCTTCCTTCCTTCCACCTGTCCATCCACCCGTCCACCCCAGGATCGCAGACTTTCTGTGAAGGGCTTGAGAGTAAATATTTCAGGCTCTGCAGATCATACCATCTGCCGCTGTGTCCTGAAAGCCACCACAGATGATGTGTAAATGAATGGGTGTGGCCGCTATCCAATAAAAGTTTATTTATAAGAACAAGCAGTGAACCGGATTTGGCCCATGAACCAGTTTGCTAACCTCTGATCGATGCATCTACTCATTCAGAAAACCATTTTGGGTTTTACTTATGCCAGGTCGTTCTGGGCACAGGGACAAGAATGAGAAAGGGACAGACAGTGCCTCCTGGAGCCCACATTCCGGTGGGCGGAGGAAGGTAAACAAGACGCATGACATGTGGTCAGGGTGGCGAATGCTGTGGAAGGACAAAGCAGGGAGGGTGAGGGACTGCAGGGGCCTTTTACAAGTGCAAGCTCTGCAGAAGAAACAGCTAATGCAAAGGCCCTGGGGTAGGAGCACGCTTAGTGTTTGAGGAGGACAGGGTGGCTCATACAGAGTGGGTAAGGAGGTGAGGCTAGCATAACACAGACCCCTAGGCGTTATCTGAGTCTCTCCTCTAAATGCAGTGGGTAGGCAGAAGGCTTCGAGTGGTGGGATAATATCTGATTTGCATTTTTGAAAGGTCATTCTGACTGCCAAGTGGAGGAGGGGCTGAGGAGCTCTGGGCTGGGGCAGGAGGAGAGGATGGTGGCCTGGACTAGGGAGTGGTGGAGCGAGGAAGTTGCAGCTGCAGCTCCCTGACTGCTGACATGCCGCTGTCTCGTCCTGGTCCCTCTCGGTCTCCGAGGAGAACACGCTGGGTCAAGATGGGTTCCTGCTGCATTTCCACTGCCAGCTGGACCTCATCCTAGACCTGGACCACAGCCTGCACCCGAGTCTGACCCTCTGCAACCACAGCAGGCCCTGGACATATGATTTCTCCAGGGAGCCGGAGGTGGGTGACTGGGTTGGGGCTGCCTGTCCCTTGGGAAGATTCCCTGACCTACCTCTTCTCTCTGGCGAGTAGGCCCACGACAGCCTGGGCATCCGCGCCATCTAGTGGCCATTGTTGGAACTGTAGGCCAGTACCCTGGTCAGGGACCAGAGCTTATCTGCGGGTGGGACCCCCTGGACCTGGCTGACCAGGGCTCTAACAGTAGGATTTCTGGCACCTGCTCCCCTCTTGTGGGGCTCTCCTGACTGCAGTCCTGAGACCAAGCAGCTCCTCCCCTGCCCCAACATCTAGCCCTTCCTATAACAGAGGCAGTGGCTAGACTGCCTGGGTTTGAATCTCAGCCTGGCCTCTGCCCAGCTGGCAACTTGCTTACACTGTGTCTCAGTGTCCTCACCTGTAAAGTGGGTAATAGTGACTGTACCTGCCCTATCTCCCATGGATAACACTGTAAGGATGAAATCCATTAATATGTGGAGACAGATAGGAATAGTTCCTGATACAAAGCAGCCACTAATAGCTGCTAAGTGTGAGCTATTTACTATTAGCTGTGATTGGCCCAGCCTTCTCACCCCCTCCCAGCAGCCCAGGGAGGTAGAAAGGGCCAGAGGTAGATTAGATGTCTGCTCCACTCCCACCAGGCCAGGTGATCTTGGGAAGGGACCTCCCTGAGCCCTGTTTCCTCACCTGTAAGTGGGAGCAGATGTACTTCATAGGGTGACTGGTGGGGTTCTGGGCACCCTCCCCTCTGCCCGCACAGCCCAGGTACGCAGTAGGCTGTCTGCTGGCCTCTTGTCTCCCTGGCTGTGTGACCCTGACCTTGTGACTCTGCTTCTCCACACCTCAGTCTTCTCCTCTGTCAAATGGGAGCAAATCCCACCTCCTCTGCGAGTGGTTGGGAGGAAAAGGGGCTGTCTGCACAGGGCATGCACACAGCAGGTGCTCGGGAGGGGGTGTTTCCTTCTAGCATCCAGAGCTCTCCCAGCCCATGTCCACGCCCAGGAGCTGTGTCCAGTTCCAAAGAGTTTGGCTTCTGAGGTTCTCCAGGGCTGACCCTCATTTTTTCACTTGCCAGCCAGGCCCTCGGCCACTCCTGCCTCTGTAATCCCAGTGCCCCACGGCCTGCCTGCCTGGAATCGGAGGCCTGGGAGTGAGCCCTTCTCCCGTGCCCGCCGCTTCTCCGCTTGTCCCACTTTGGGGTTTGTGGAGTAGACAGAGGCCTTTCCCAGCCTTGTTTGGTCCTCATGCCAACCTCGTGGCCCCTGTGCAGAGAAAGGACAGTCTGAAGGTCAGGGCTAACCCAGGCTGCACAGCAGCCAGCCAGTGGGCCCTTGCCGTTTGATGATGGCAACTAGGGCACAGCTGGGACACAGAAGGCCATCGGGACAGAGACCAGAGTGTGGTCTGCAGACGCCCCCTGTAAATTCTCCCAAGGATTCCCAGCCTCTGCCCCACCCACCCACTTGGAAATCTTGGGGGAAAGGGCTCCGGGAAGCTGCAGAATTCTAAAATCAAGGAGTCAGCAGGACCACGTTCCCTCCGAGACTCTAGGGGAGTGTCCTTCCTGGCCTCTTCCAGCTCCTGGTGGCGGCTGGCAGCGCTGGCATTCTTGGGCGGTTGGCACAGTGAGAGAGGGGGACCCTGCTGGGCCTCATGGAGGTGAGAGAGCTGGTGGGGGGATTGTGGCTGTTCCCTTGGGGCAGAGACAACAGCACGGGGAGTCCTGAACCCTTTGGGCCCAGCAGTGCCCAGAAAACCAGAGGCCGCCAGCCCATAGCACGGCGAACATGTCCTCGGTCCATGTTGCTAGCACCGAGAACCTTCTGTCCACCCATTCCGTGAGGCTTCCCTGGACCCCCAGCCTGCCCCTATGTCTGCAGTCCGGGGTTGCAGCTGTTGGGTTCCACGTGCAAGCCCGGCCGGAGGAGGTGACCCGAGGCTTGGATGCCTATGTGAGAAGGTTCCATCCAGTGCCCGGTGGGTAGACTATGCTGGGGTGTCAGGGGTGCTCTTAGAGAATGGAAAAGAGGGCTAGGGCTCTGTGTGGGCATGGCCCTCTGGCCTGTCCTGTGCCCCCTGCTCACAGGCATGAAGGTCTTCTGTGCCCCAAACCTCACCTTGATCCTACCTCAACGTCCCTATCCAGCATGGCGGGCCCCCTCTAAAGCTGTCTCAGGTGGAGCCAGGGGCTGTGCAGGCGAGTGGCCGAGATGTGGGGAGGCCAGACAGGCACAACCCTGTACCCAAATCCACGCCTACCCCAAGGGCACCCAAGCCCAGGCCCTCAACTCAACCTGTGGCACTGTTTCAATCAAAAAAAGCTGCCCGATTTCTGCTGGGCCTGCAGCCTAACTTCTTTTAGACCCTCCTGCCTTACTTCTCATGGACCCATAGCCTTCCTATTCTTTCTGTATGCTGGCTGCATTCTTGCAGCTGTACCCCCGACTCCCGCTGCCTTGCTTCTTTTTTTTTTTATCCTCACCTGAAGACATTTTTCCATTTTCTTTACAGATAGAGTGGGAGGGAGAGAGAGGAAGAGAGAGAGAGAGAGAAACATCGACGTGAAAGGGACACATCGAGTGGCTGCCACCCGCACGACTAACCAGGGCCGGGGACAAACTGCAACCGAAGTACATGTCCTTAGCGGGAACCGAACCCGGGTCTCTCTGGACCACAGGCCGACGCTCTAACCGCTGAGCCAAACCGGCCAGGGCTGCCTTGCTTCTTTAGGGACTGCTCACCACATTTCTTCAGTCCCGCCTGATTGCCGTTGGGTAAACAGCTTTCTGTCGGGCCCACTGTCGTCGGATTCCAGGGCCCAGTTCCAGTCCCGGGATGAGCACCAGTGTGGCTGTGCTGGTTCTTAAAGCTTCTGTCCCATGTACTAAGTGCTCCTGCCCCAAGCATCCCCCCACCCCGCCAGGCGCCAAGGCCCGTGTCCCTCTAACTGGCTGTTACCTGTGCTCTCACCCTGCTCAGGTCTCTGTGCGAGCTCCCGGGCCACCCCAGGCTCGGTGATTCACTAGGAACCCATAGCGGTGACCTGCCACAGAGCAAGGTCAGCAGAGTGGAGAGTACAGGGACCAATGTCCCATGGACCAGGCACCGTGCTCCAGAGACCTCTCCCAGTGGGGGCACAGAGGGTGCCCCAGTCCCCCAGCTTCGAACTGTGACAACAGGTGTCAAACACTGTCTACCAGGGAAGCTCATCGGAGACCCCGTTCTCAGGCTTTTTATTGGGGGCTGGTCAAAGGCAGCCTCTGCCTGGCACATACCACCTTCCACACTTGCAGGAGGAGAGGGGTGTTCAGCATAAACCACTTGTTAGTACAGTGAGCCTTACCAGCCCCAGGAATGGTGGGGACCCTCCCGAAATCCAGGATCCCAGAGGCCAGCCAAGGGCCAGCCTTGTGAACGGGCCTCTCAGGGGGCTCTCGGGCCCACCATGCCGACTCTTCTGCATGGTCCCTAGTGCCCCCACCTAGTCCAGGTAACAGGCCCTGTTTCCTGGGTCATCAGGGGGCTGGTTTCCCTGCCTGCCCCCAGGCCCCTGAGGCTTCACGGGGGAACTGTGGTGGCCTGTTGCAGGGCCCAAGCCACGCTGAAGGATGTCTGTCTGGAGGTGATGCTGCAGCCCCTGGATGGGGTGTGGCAGCCGCCAGCCTGGGGGTCCAGGCTCAGTGAGGCAGTGCTGGAGGCCACGAGGGGCAGCCTGTAGTTGGCGAAGTGGGGTGAAGAGGTGGCACGTGGCTCTTTTGCCCCCTCCCTCTCCAGGCCACCCACCGGATGCTGTTTGGGGCCAAAACCACTTCCTCAGGGGCGCTGGACCTGTGCAGCTTCTCACCCAGGTAACGGGTTGTCCTGCCCTGTGCTCCTGCCCCTACTAGTCACCATGCTCAGACACATTCAGTCTCACTCCCATGACAACCCTGCCACACAGGTGTTCTTCATCCCCACTTTACAGATGAAGAAACCGAGGCTGCTGCTTCACCCTATAGATAGTCTCAGAGCAGGCAGTGTCTGAGGGGCTGTCGCTGCAGTGGTGGCAGAGAGGCCCCGCGCGGGCAGCTGGCTCACCTCCCCGTGAGGGGCCCGGGAGGCAGGCCTGCGGGCTTTGTCGGCCAGACAGCCTGTCCGTAGTCGTTGCTTTTTGCTCTGCAATCCTTGAACGTGTAAAAGCCACTCTTAGCTTGCAGGCTGTCCAAAACCCAGGCCCCGGGCTGGATGTGGCCTGCGGACCGCAGGCGACCGTCTGATCTGGGATGACAGGCGGCAAATGCTGCAGAAAATAAGGCAGAACAGCTGGGTAGGTGCATGTGACAGGGTGCGGCCATGGCCGGCCTCAGTGAGCAGGCAGCCTGTGAACGAGGGTTTGAAGGAGGGTCCCGGGTGGGGAGGGTCCCGGGTGGGGAGGGTCCCAGGCCAGTGCGAAGTCCCGGGAGGGGCTGCGTCTGGCCGGCCTGAGGGCTGTGGAGGAAGCCTGGGGGGCTGCAGTGAGGTAGTGGGCTCCAGGCGGCCCGGGGCCCGTCTTCCACTCTGGAATGGAGTGTGCAGTACGTTTTCAGCTGAGGAAGGACATGTTCTACCTTTCTCCTCACTGGCCCCAGTGTCATGAGAGGGGTGTGGGTAGAAGCGGGGAGCCCAGGATGGAGGGGTGTGGGGGCATATGCCAAGGATTTGGGCCTTGACAGCTGGAGGGGTGGCGGGTCTGTCTGTGGGGCAATGGGAAGGATGCGGGGGGCGTGGCCTGGGGCTCCCTTACTTTCCTGTTGCTGCTGTAGCAAATCACCATGGATTTAGTGGCTTGAAACGACGGGTTTCCTCTCGACAATTCTGGAGGTCGGGTGTGGCTCGGGTTTCCATGGGCTGAGCCCGGTGTCAGCGGGGCTGGTTCCCCCGAGGCTCCAGGGGCCGCCTCATTCCTCAGCCTGTGCTGATCCGCCCCCTTCAAAGCCGGCAGCTGGCATCTCCAAACTGTCCTTGTGTCTTCTCC